ACACCAAAAAAAAAAAAAAAAAAAAAAAAAAAAGTTTTCATCGGAGGATGTCTTTGGAACCATAGGTTAAGGGTTCAAAATTCAAATCCCTTTTCTCCCACAACGTATGTTCCTAATCACTGATGTAAATCAAAGAATTGTGGTCCATCATCCCTTGTGTGAGGATCCAGGCCTCGGTGATCCCACAAGAGCCCGCCTACAGAAAAATGTGCCCGAGTTTTTTTCTTTTTTTTTATAATAAAAGCCCAGGTTGTTGTCGAGGCCCGGTCCAGACACACGGTGGTCGCTCCATCAGCCAGCCATTGGTTGTCCTGACAATTGTTCCATTTGTGAGACCGCCTCGCAACCCACCCTGTCATCAATTCTCCCAGCCAACCCCCATTGAGTAACAGCTGGCTAATGCAAAGACAGTGCTGCTACTCAAGGGGGGGGGGGGGCAAGCAGATGGGAGGCGCAGCTACTGGGCAAAATGCTTGGTCCTTGCATAAGCCAGCCGCTGCCACCGGCGGCCCCACCCGACTCCCTGAGTCCCCCTGACCACTACCGATTAGGGCGGGCCGCAACATGCATCCCCTTGACTGTGAGAGGGAGCTGTGCTTGCAGGGGTCCCCTGTATAGCCGTACGGTTTGAACTTTGAACCCTTAACCTATAGTTTTGGACAGCTTATCTGCCCACAAGTTGAAAGACTACGGGCTTATGGTAGTTTGAGCACAAAATGCAGGATATGTGCACAGACATTATCCACAACGTTATCCGCATTATTATCCACAATGTTTTGGACACCTTCTCTGCCCACAAGCTGTGCTTTTTTTTGCATACGTTAGGTTGAAGAAGGGGCACAATGTTATCCACAATATAATCCACATTATTATCCACAATATAATCCACATTATTATCCACAGCGTACTACCTTCTTCCCCCGAATACAACGTACGGTCATTATAGATGTATTTGAGACATCCCGCAGTCTAGATACAGCTACAATGACCGTACGTTGTATTCGGGGGAAGAAGGTAGATGCTTGCACAATGTTATGCACAATGTTATCCACAATGTTATCCGCAGTATTATCCACATTGATTCCACCATGTTATCAATATTATCCACAGGGTTGATAATAATGCGATGTGGCATCGTTATCCACAGCGCAGCGATACCAGGCATACTGGTACGGGGCCGTTCACGTACGTGCACACCAAGTGCAACTACTTTTTTTAGGCCCCGTACGAATTGTACATGTACAGGCCCCTAAAAAAACAAACCCAGGCCTGTACACCCGGTGATAGTGCCACTGTGTCACAATATTATTCAATGCCTACATTGGCAACACATATGACAAAGATAGGTCTGATTATTAATGCAGGTCATGTTGGGGCTTGGCTACTGACTTGGGAAGATATAAATTGCCCAGAAATTTCCAAAAATAGAAAGTGAGAAATCCTCGTTTCGAACCAACGGTTAACGCATGATCATCCCAATGAGCAGCAGCACAATTGTTGTGCTAAGTGTCACAATTGTCTGCAACAGAGGAAAGCAGCTAGGCAAGCCCC